TTCAAAAATAGCCCCAAAAATGTTTAGGGGATGCTTTTCTTTATTGTTTCATATGTTTGAACATCTTTTGACTGTATTCTTCCTTCGTTCAAAATCCGCCTGTAGGAGGACATGCCCGACCCAAGGTTACCCCTTGGGGAAGGCTGCCCGTCCTTTTCATGCGGGTTGACTGTGTACCTCTCCTGCGCTTCGACTCCTCCTGGACTTTCATCCTCGGCTTCCTCGTCCGCCTCAGTTCTCGTTCGGCTCTCCGCCCGTCTTCCTCCCCCCCTGTCATGCCTCTCCCGCTGATCCTCTTCTCTCGCCCCATCCCGCTTCACACTTGCCTCCCCGTCCTCCCTCCATTTTCCTGTTCTCCCCTCTTTCTCCTCACGCTGCTCCCCCTCACACTTCCCATCCCCCCTCGACATCCTCGTGCTCTTGTCTTGCTTCTGCTCCGCAGAGCCCCAGCTCCATTTACATCCTTCCCCCTGCTGCTACACCTGGTCCACATCATCTTACTTGTTCATCGTCTAATGTAAGCCCCATTCACCCCCCCCACCACCGATCTTAATACTATGCCTCCTCCTCCGCCGCCTCCTCTCCGCTCCTCTTCAAACGTCCTTCCTCCTCACTCCTCCCTCTCGCTGCTCAATATCACCACATATTCTCTCCTCCTCATCTTCCTATTGCCCCTCCCGCTCCCACCTCCTGCCGTGTCTCCCGCTCCCTCCCTGCTCCTCTTGCTCCTCCGGCTCTCATCGTCCCTTCCTTCCCCCTCCTCCTCTTTCCCCCTCCTCGTCCTCCTCCGCATCCTACTCCTCTTTATCCTCCCTCCTCCCTCTTCATCCCCCTCCTCCTCCTCCTCCTTCTCCTCCTATTGCCTCCTCCCCACTCCTTTGTCTTCCTCCTGCTGATCCTCGTCCTCCCGCCTCCCGCGAAGGACACGCATGCGCCAGGCGCGATGCCCATGCCCTGATGCCGCACCGTGGTCGCCGCGGTGGCGGCGACGAGCACTACATTTGCAGGCAAGGCAAGGTGGAGGAGGAGGAGGAATATGAGGAGTGAGAAACGATCAGGAGGAGGAGGAGGAGGAGGAGGAGGAGGAGGAGGAACATTGATTGGGACAAGGCACCGCTACCTCTACTGTTGCCTCTGTTTCGCCTTTTTGGTCCTCCTGGGAGGCCCTCGTCGCCACAGCTGGATTCGCCCCGCAATTCTGGTCAGAGCGCACCCGGGGGGAGGTCTGGGGAGTAGCAATATCGGTATCTTTAGTTTGCCCAGGAGCAGATGAGGGCGGCATTGACAGAGGATGAGGAGGAGAAGGAGAAGGCGGAGGAGGAGGAGGAGGAGGAGGAAGAGGAGGAGGGAGGAGGTGGAGGAGGAATAGGAGCAGGAGGAGACATGGTACAGGAAAGAGGCGGGTGGAGAGAAGGAGGCGCGCCGTAGTTGGGAGGGCGAAGTGAAGGAGAGAGGAACGAGGGGGCAAGGATTCCAGGAGGAAGATGCCTGCACGTCCTCCTCTACCTCCTCCTCCTCCTTCTCCTCCTCCTCCTCCTCCTCCTCCTCCTCCTCCTCCTCCTCCTCCTCCTCCTCCTCCCGCGGGGGCTCCAGCGGAGGAGGACGGATCTGAAGTGGGCGGGGAGCGCGAGGGCGAGAGCCGGGGCACACGGCGGATGGCGGTGGCCGTGGGGGAGGCGAGGGGCGAAGGGCGCGCGAGAGGGCGAGGCGGCGGGAGCTGGGCAGAGGCGGGGGGGGGGGGGGCCTCCCCCGCTCCCGCCGCCTCTCTGCCAGAGAGTCGGCGGCAAGCGAGGGGCAACGGCAAGAGGGGGAGAGGAGAGGCACGCACGGCGAGCAGCGGCCGAGGGGCAGGTGCAGGTTTCGGGCTCGAGGGCGGGGGGGAGGCGAGAAGGAGGTGGAGGGGGGGGCTGCTTCGGGCTCGAGGTGCGGGGTCTTCGGATGTGCTCGTCGGTGCTCGGCGGTCGTCCAGCCTCGGGGCGCGCTCCGGCCGCTGCGCCTCGCCGAGGTCGTTCCGGGGGTGCCCGGATCGCCCCGAGCGGCCACCGGCGAGCCGAGCTATGGCCCACACGCCTCGGGGGCCCCCAAACGGGGCGGTGACCGCACCGTGCGGTGAGTCGGTGGGGATTCGGGGTCACCGCACGGTTTGGGGACTCGGGTCGTTCTCCGAGGATGTCTCGGGCGACAGGGGCCTCCAGGGTCCCAAGACCGTGCGGTGACGGACCGTGCGGTGAGGTCTTGGAGGATTTCGAGGTCACCGCACGGTCTGTCACCGCACCGTTTCGGGACTCCAAAGCGCCACCAGGTGTCCGAGGCCTGAGGAGGCCCTGTCGGAAGGCGGCGGGGTCGTCTCAGAAGCCCTCCGGCCTCCCGAGGAGGCCTCCGTGCCTTCGAGGGAGGTCCCGAGGACTTCTCTCCGAAGGCCGGGGGGGCTTCCGAGCCTGCTGTGAGGGCCCACCCCATCTCACTTCCCCCCGGACTCGCCGCCGAGAGAGAGGACGAGGGGTGAGTCGGGCATGTCCCTCTACAATTCCGTCTGTAGGTGGGCATGCCCGACCTAAGACGATGGGCAAGGATCGAAGAAGACAAGATGTGCACACACGCAAGCTGTCAGAGCTCCGCGCGGGTTTCCTGGAGCTGCATTAGAACCCCTGGCGGCGTCTCCGGCGCCGTCCCTGGCGCGCTCCGCGCGCCATGGATGGAGGGGGGTCCAGCGCAGATTCATTAAATCCGTGTCGACTCCCGAGAGTTTGTGCTTGGGCAGTGTTTGTTCTTCCTTTCGAGGAGGGGCCGGGTTCCCTCGAGCCACATGTGGCGCCCTGCCCCGCGAATTATTGCCCCTCGAGGCGCGCATCCCAGCACGCCTGCTAGGGAGGGGTGAGGGAGAGGAGGAGAAGGCGGGCGGAGGGAGAGGGCGGAATGAGGAGGGACAGGAGGACAGGGCGGAAGGGAAAGGGAGAGGGGCGGACGGAAGGGTACGCAGGAAGAGGAGGTTGAAACAGCGAGGCAGTATAGTGTGGCCGTCGATGCATCGGCGGCGCGACATCGGTAGCTCTGAGGCCGTCCTCGGAAAAAAGGCGGAGCGGACACTCCTGATTACCGCTGGGGGGGGCTCCGATGGTGGAAAGCAACTGACGAGAGTTATGATCTTCCAACCTACTTTAGCGTTGGCCACCAGGAAGAATTTCGAGCGGCCAAACAAAGTACCGAAACTCAAGGGATTTCACGTGTCGGGCCCTGGGAGACAATCGCCCGACACTGTTTCGACACTGTTTGGACACTCTTCTGACACTTTTCTGGGTGCTCGAAATTATTTCTGGGATGTGGTCCTTGAGTGGGATGGGGACAACATAAGGCGAGACCGCCTGTCGGCGGTGGGGGCTGGGAGGACGGACGAGGACGCGAGACACAGGACGGAGGATGGCGCAGGGCGTGTGGAGTGGCGGCGGACACCGGGCGGGAGGGCAGAGGACTGGAGGGACGGAGGGGCGGAGGACGGAGGAGGACGGAGGAGGACTTTCCAAGGGCTTTCCCGATCAGACGGTGTCTGGATTGGTGGGGCTCTCAGGAGGACTTCATTTGAGTGGCCTCCCTTGAAACACGCGAGACATAACCCAACTCCCCATTTTCGAAGGAGGTGAGCAAACTTCCGAGAGGCCTCTGAGGTGTCCCCTGCCCTCCAAAGCCCGACACCCGCACCTTATGCAGATCCAGTACGGCTCGTGGAAGGCGAGCTCGTGGGATGCATGGCCGCTCCTGGTCCCCAGGGCGAGCTGGGTGGGGCGCGGCTGGTTGGAAGGCGGGCCTGGGCACTCTCGGGAAATCCATTCACTCATGACTTGTTTACATGCTAATTTACTGACCGACGTGCGACAATCTAAACAACACCACCGCGCCTGCATGTTACAGAGAGTGTGAGACGACTTCAGCTGGGCGGCCTGGAGGGCGTCGGGACGAGAACGTTTCTCGATTCTCCGAACAGTCCTGGCCGAGGGCTCTCTGTTTTCATGCTCAAACGCGTTTAAAGTAGCACGAATTATCCTGCCACGAACTAAAGCGGAGACGGCGACAGCCCACTTATAGCACGAAAGGCGAGCAGGTGAAATCTGGTGTTGCTCAGCTCCTTTTTTCGCAAGCTCATCTGCCGCTTCATTACCACACCAGGCATAGAATGGTACTCCTTTTCTCATGCTCTCTTGTAGGCTGAGGTGACTGTTCATCCAGAAGACTTCCACCCTGCTGTCTCCTCTGTCATTCAAGGCTGCTCCTATTTCTGTCCACAGATCTCCCATCGAGCTCCAACTGGCTGGGCGGGTGTGGCGACCTTTCATCCATCCCTTATACAAGACTTCTGAGTCCGTCCAATAGTGCAACTGACCTCTTGTGTTCAACATCGCAGAAACGAATGCCGAGAACTCGGCACGATTATTTGTTTGTCTGTGACCAGCGAGCGGGGCGAATGCACCTCCTCTGACACTCGGGAGGTCGGGGGAAGAGACATCCAAGGCCACCCATCCCCAGCCGCACCTGCGGTAGCGGGCGTCGTCCGACTCGTCGCCGCCGCTGCCGTCTCCGCAGGTGATGAGGGGCCGCCACCAGGGCGCCTCGATGGGGGGCACTTTATTTGTTTCTTTTTTTTTTTGTTTTTTTTTTAAATGTTTTCTTTTTTTTTTTTTTTGTTTGTTTTTTTTTTTTTTTTTTTCTTTTGTTTGGGTTTGTCTTTTTTGTTTGTTGTTTTTTTTTTGTTTTTTTTTTCGGTTTACTTTGTTTGTTTTATCTTTTGTTTTTGTTTTTTTTTTTTTTGTGTTTGGGTTTTTTGTTTTTTTTATTGTTTTTGTTGTGTGTTTTTGTTCTTTCTTTTTTTTTTTCCGTGTTTTCTTTTTTTGGTGTTGGTTTCAGGTTTTGTTCTTTTTTTTTTTTTTTTTTTTTTGGTTTTTTTTTTTTTTGTTTTTTTTTGTTTTCCATTTGTTTTTGTTTTTTTTTTGTGTCCCAGCTCGCCGAACCTCTCCTCCGTGTAGGGCGTCTCGCACGGCGGCGGCGTCGTCCACGAGGTTGGTGGCAAGCCCCGCAGCCAGAAGCACGGAGTGTGCTCCGCACCCGCCAGCGCCATGGTGACCAGGTGCTCTGACTTCTCAAAGGCAGGGTGGATCACCCTGTCCGAGCACTGTCCCCATATGCGGTGGAGGTCGTCAGCTCTAACACCGCAGCTGCAGTTGCCCGTGCCAGCGAGGTCGCCGTAGAGGTCGAACCTGCGTGCAGGCGTCCAGGTGCCCGCCGTCATGGCGGTGAGCAGGGCGTTGGCCTCGGGGAGCCTGTCCTGCTTCCTCAGCCTGGCCAGGTGCCGCCGCGCGTCGGTGGTGTCGACTCCGTCCTCCATGCCCTTGCCGTTGTGGTGTGCTGCCGCCTTCTGCCACAAGGCCTTCTCGATGTCCTCGACGATGGCATCGATGATGGTGGAGGGGTCTTTTTCAGCTGCGTCCTCCGCCATTTCCCAATCGTCACCACGAGGGTCTCTCCAGCGTGTGGCCAGCTTGGGGTCCCAGTTGGCCTCCCACAAGGTCAGGATCAGGGAACCAATGACTCCACGCCTCTGTCGCCAACGATGCTGCTTTGGGGCAATCCTGAGTCTGGCATATATCTTGCCCCAGGCTTTGGCGATCATCTTCCTCAGGTCAGGGCGGTGCGCGTAGAGGTCGAACCACGCGCGCAACTGTGCCCGAGGGAACTCGAGGGCGGGGTCCTTGCCGACCAAGCTGAGGAATGACGTGGTGCATCGTCCTGGTCTGGCTCTAGCAATCCCTGACATGTAGCGTCGGCGCGCCTGTGTAATTGCTGAAGGGGGTTCACCATGTGCCTTTGCCCCGTACAAGAGCGCTGGCATTGCACCTTGGTTAAGCATATGAAATCTCTTTTCTCGCCGCAGTTTCCGCAACTTTCTGCCCAATGTCACCATACGTGAAAATGCTTTCTTCCGTCTTGTCGTGTGGGTAGCCCTGCGGGTAACTCCTTTTGAAGATCTATCGATGCCAAGATCTCGTGCTTCTCCAGCTGGGGTAATATCCACTCCGACTTTCTTCAACTTTGATGTGATCCGCTTTGTCATCTTCCAATCAGAACTGAAAATAACACTCTTGTCTGCGAGCTCCAGGCCTTCTCGCTTCAGGCTGTGGGCTAGCTTCATCGTCGTCGTAACTATGATGCCTTCGACCGCCGCGGGGCTGCCGTAGGCCGAGGTGCTGATGTCATCGAACCAGGCCCTTGGCATCGCTCTAGGCTCTGCCCTCGTGACGGTCTCCAGCACCCTGTACACCACTGCTCGCGCCAGGTTGTTAGCGTGGCGCGAGCCCGCCAGGAGGGACACGTCCGCCTGGCACGCGAGCCCGTAGGCTCCTTGTTGTCTCAAAATTCGTGGGACACAATGTATCTGCAGTTCGAGCGCCAGGATCCTCTTGGGGAAGTTGAGGTTCACGCACGCTGAAGCCACAGACTCAGGAACGAGAGAATCGTAAAATCTGGCAATGTCAGCGAGGCTCACTGCCGAGGACATGGCAAGAGCGTGAGCTGCCTCATCCTGGAGTGCCCTAGCCAGGGCCTCCCGCAAGCAGGATGACCCTTTCAGGGCTGAGTCCCAGTGCCGCGATGCCGAGGTGACCCATTCCTCCACCTGCGGGCGCGTCAGCATCTGCCAGCAGCGGATGAGCCACGCGATGAGGGCCAAGGCCCTGTCTCCCGACTTCTTGGGCTCGAGCATAGGAGGACGGAGGAGGAGGAGGAGGGGGAGGAGGAGGAGGAGGAGGACGACGACGACGACGACGACGACGAGGACGAGGAGGACATGGAGGACAAGGAGGACAAGGAGGACGAGGAGGACGGAGGAGGAGGAGGAGGAGGAGGAGGAGGAGGAGGAGGAGGAGGAGGAGGAGGAGGAGGAGGAGGGAGGACGGAGGGAGGAGGACGGAGGGCGACGGAGGAGGGAGGGCGAGCTGAGGCAGCGGGCAGCTGGTCCTCGGGAGGGCGGGCGGGCGCAGGCGGGCCCGCCGGGAGGGGGCTCTGGCGGGCCGAGCCTGTCGGGGGCGGCCAGGGGGGCCAGGACCAGGGCCGATCCACGACGGGAGCTCCACCGGCTTCCGGGCCGTGGGCTCTTGCTCTGCGTACGGTAGGTTCGCGTCGTGTCGACCGGCGGCGACCCCGCCGCCGACGTTCAAGGTTGAACGCCGACGGCGGCCCAGAATCGGTCGATGTTGAACGATCGGACGTTGCGGAGACGGCCGATCGTTCAAGGTTGAACGATCCAGCGCGGTGTCAGGAACCAACGCCAGGGTCGACACGGCACGAACCTGCAGTATGCGGGTTCCTTTTGTCCAGTGCTCCCTCCGTGCAGTGGTCCGCCGCGCGCGGGGGCCCAGGGCGAGAGCCACCCCTCCCCCCCTGGAGGGCGCCTGCACGTGCGCCGTGCGCCGGTGCTGCCCGGGCCTAATTCTTGCTGGGCACCCGATCAGTGCATCTTTGGAGCGGCCAAGAGGGGGGTGATGACTGGGGTTGAGTCGGGCATGTTCCTCTACAGGAGGGATCTTCAAAGACAGTCAACAAATTCGTCTGGGGATGATTGTTTCTACTAGTTATAACTATTGTTTAGTTGTTTGTTGTTGTTGTTGTTGCTGCTATTTTCCAGCTTTCGTCCGAAATCCGCCTGTAGGAGGACATGGCCGACCTAAGATTACGGGGGGGGGATATCATGGCGGGGGCCATGGTACGTCCCCAGATTTCATGGCGCCACTTCTTATTTCAATACGTCCCTGCCCCCCCCTCCTGGGCCGCGCACATGCCGCCGGCCATGTTTCCCCCCCCCCTTGGACGCTCCCCTCTTGGACGCCCCCGAGTTTGAGAGCCCGTTGTCTCGAGTCGCCCTGCGCCTTGGCATCGCACGTACGTGTGAAGTGTTTCTCTCGGCGAGGACCATCGAGGAGCGTCCTCGACCATCGGGCCAACCAGAACACGCACGACACCGAACAGTGCGCGTGGAATAGACGTCCGAGCGACGGCAAGGGCGCCGAGGTTGGGAGTGGGAGGGAGGGGAGGCGGAGGGACGACGCACCAGGGATGGGGGGGGTTGTGGGGACTCTTTTTGTGACCTCGCCCGGCCCCACCACATATTAACAATCCGCCAGGCGAGTACACACAGCGGAGAAAGAGACGGAGGATGGGGAGAGGATTGTGGGCGGCACATGGAGGACGGTTTTCAGCCTCTGGGGGCCCTTGCCGGGCCCCAGGACCGTCGAGAAACGACTCGAGATAAAAGCCTGGTCCCGGGGAAGGGGTCCAGATCTCTGGGGGTCGACGCTGTGGCAAGAATCACGACGGCGGCTGTCTGGGGCCGGAGGGCTGAGGAGACGGGAGGAGAAGGAACGGCAGGAGGGGTGGGGGCCCTTTCGCCCCTCCGTCGACGTTCAGCCCGCTTCGGGGCGGTGGTGTTGCTCACGGGGTTCCTGCTCACTCGCGCTATGACGTTGTTTTACCATGCAGTCGCTACGATCACAGGTGATCCAAGTTTGCCCAACATGAAAAGGATGAGGAGGCTGAGGAAAGGGATGCAGGGTTGGAAGGGGAGACCGACGAGGGAGGGGGGAGGGAGGTGGACGGACGAGCAGAGGAGATCTCGAGAGGAGTGTGGCGAAGGGAAGGGGGCGGGGCCGCGGCCTTGTGCGTGGGCTCTTTGACCCCGCACTCGTCGGCGACCGTCGCCCATCAGTGTCTGCCTGTTGCACGTGGACGGCATCGGTGTAATTACAAGCCAGCGCAGCTGCAAGAACTGTTTTTGTTTTGGTCGAGGTTTCCACCTTCTGCGGAGCATGGACCGATCGAGACCTGTGGCCTTGGCCCACTTGCCATCCTCTGCGACGCGCCCATCGAGGGCCTGTTTTTTGCCAGACGTGTTCGCACCCGCAGTGCCATACTGCACTGCCCCTGCACTCGCCCGCTGGAGCGGGGCGATGAACGCCTGCGAGATGCTGGTAAGGTTATGTCGGGCACGTCCCTCTACAGGAGGAAGATCCGAGAATAGTCAACAAAATCGTCCAGGGACGATTTTTCTGTTATTTTGTTTCTGACTTTGTTGGAGTATCATTATTTGACTATGTTTACTTGTTCTTCCAAAATCCACCTGTAGGACAACATGCCCGACCTAAAGGTAAGGCTGCGGGCTGCGCACAAACAGCTCCCCCCCATGGTCCCGTTTGGCCTCAACAGGCCCCTGCAGGTAGTCCCAGCTGGCTTAAACAGGACCCCCGAGTAGTCCCGAGAGGGGGGGAAACACACACAGACACAATTGATCGTCGACTCCCAGGAAAGGCTGGGGGCAAGACCAGCGCCGAGAAAATGTGGGGCAAGCTGGAGAGTCATGGGATCTGTACGTCTATTGATTTGTGCGTCCTTGGGCCCCTTCAGAAGCACCCTGGCGCCGCCTCTGGCGGCGCCCCTGGGGCGCTCCGCGCCCCAGGGTTGGGGTGTTGAGAACTCGGTGGGATTGGTGAAGCCAGCGTCAGGACTACTTGCAGGGGGCATGCGGAGGCCAGCTGAGGCTCCCCGGGGGGCCTGCCCGTGTCATGGCGCCAGCATCGCAGGGCGGACTTCGCTCGGGAAGCCAGGGGATGGACCCGGATTGTCCTGGAGGATGTCGTTCCGGATGTCGAAGTGAGTTTCGTGCGGATGTTCCTGGCCAGGAAGGAAGGCTGCACAAATCCACGTGAAGTCCACTCGGTACTTCGCTCGCCGTTTCGTGTTTTTTTGGGGGGCGACAGAAGTCCACGCAAAAATTCGCTGCAGCACGTCTGCAGGGTCGGTGCAGTGGCATGTGCGCAACCCGACGCATTTGCACGTCAGAAGCATGCTTGTTGTCCAGTCACGTTGCGGGAGCTCCTGCGGACGTCTCGCGGAGTTGCGCGCGGCGCCCCCCCCGCGGTTTCG